GGGGCACGATGCTACCGTGTTTCGTATGATAAGTGATGAAGAACGTAGACATTATATCAGGGGTCCCTATATAACGATATATTTATAACATTTTGACCTACTTACCGTAAAATTTTGTTTTGTGTTCGTGTGTATGATACATTTCATTATATTTCTCAGACATCCTGTGAACATACTAGATCTCACACTCTTGGGGCACAGTAGAGGGCGTGGGGGTTAGCGGCAAAAATAGGCATGCGTTGCCCTAACCCTAGATGCATTCCTAGGTAGATGAGTAGCTTATATTACACTTATATTTTCTTTATAAAAATGAAGTGCAAACAAACTTATGTGGTTACGTTTATACGTAGTAGAGTCATGCTAAAGCTATATCAATAGTACAGTTGTAGCACGAATGGGTCGGCTCGACCGGGGAAGGACCTCGCTCTCACCGAATACCAACGTAAAAGAGAAGCTTAACGCTGCTGTGTTTCGTATGGTGAGTGTAAACAACCGGAGACTCTTTTTACTGGAAAAGAGGCATTCCATCTTAGTCCTCACGGGTGACAACGAGGATAGATGTAGAAGTCTATGGGCGACAGCAACCACTTACCATCAGGTGGACTGTGTGCTCGTTTGTCACACTATCCTATAAAAAAACTTACGGTCCACCTGATGCTAAGATTATAAGTGGTATAGTCACGCTGCAGGTATATTATGGTTGCAGCACGAATGTAAAACCACGCTCTCACAGAATAACAGCGTAAAATAGCAGCTTAATGCTGCTGTGTTTTGTACGGTGACTGTAGAGAACCGAAGATCTTTTTAACTGGCAACGAGGAATACCTAATAGTCCTCAGAAGTGACAACGCAGCAACGCACTGCGTTCTGATTCTTAATCGAGACAAAAGGTGAAAAAACGATGATAAATGTAAATGTCTATGGACCACAGCATCCGCTTACCATCAGTTGGACTGTGTGCCGGTTTTACAGCATTATTCTATAAAAAAAGTGGCTACTGTAGTCTATGAACACCTTTAGCAAACAAGGAAGGCTACAGATACGCTGTTACCCGCGTAATTATACTTGCTCTCTATACCCTTTGGACTGTAAAAAAGTTGTACAGGGACTGCTTTTGGCGGCAAAAATAGCAAAAAAGTGGTAACTACCCACACGGATGCCTAGGCAGAAAAGGACTCCTATTACAAGTGGTGGCACGTAAGTCTAGCGCTGAACGAAACGTGGAGACCGAAACGATATTGAATTGCACGAATGCGACTGGAGAGCCAACCAGCGCGTGCGAACGATACGAACGAGCCAATCAGCGGGACTTATGCGCAATAAGCCAATCAGCGCGACATATGCTCAATAACGGTCACCGCTAGACTTTCACGCCGCAACTTATACTAGGTTCGTCTTTCGTTAGAGCGAACACAGAACACTTGTATTTAGACAATTACCCACTACATCCAAACGACTCTCTTTAAAACTTTTCTGGCATTTTAATGAATAGTTTGTTATAATCCTATTCGACATTAAAAATATAGTTGTATACTAGCTTCGCCTCGACTTCGCCCGCATTCAATTTAGGATTTTAATTAGTTTGCGCGTATTTTTCTAAAATAAAAGTAGCTTAAGTTACTCCTTATAATATCAGCTATCTGTCAGTGAAAGTCCCGTCAAAATCGGTCTATCTGTTTCGGAGATTAGCCGGAACAAACAGACACACAAAATTTTTAAAAATTGTGTTTTTGTTATAAGTACCGTATACACTTCATATGTGTTTAGTAAAAGCTGTTATTTTGATATTACAAACAGACACTTTAATTTAATTTATTTGTATAGATGAATAAATTATAATTATTTTATAATATTTATTTACATCAAGCGTGGTAGAGTCACATTGCATTTATGGTTGCAGCACGAATGGGTCGGTTCAACCGAGTACGGACCACGCTCTATGTTATGTCTCTATTCTAACATAATACCACAGTCAAATAGCAGCATGATGCTGTTGCGTTTTGTATAGTTAGTGTAGAGAAACGTTGATCCTTTTTACTGGTAATTTTTTTTTATGGATAGGGGTGACAAACGAGCACACAGTCCACCTGATGGTAAGTGGTTGCTGCGGCCTATAGACATCTACATCTATCCTCTGTTACAAATCAAAATGTAGATGCGTTGTCACCCGTGAGGACTAAGATGGAATGCCTCATTTCCAGTAAAAAGGGCCTCCGGCCACCTGCACTCACCAAGCGAAACGCAGAGGTAAACCTCTACTTCACGCTGGTTTTCTGTGAGGTCGTGGCACTACCCCGGTTCGAGCCGGGGTAGTACCACGACCGTGGTACAGCAAAAGCTGCCGCGTGGCTCTACCACTGTTAAAAATTATTTATTCTATAAAAAAAATATTATTATATATTTATTTGTTCTATAAAAAAAAACGTGCGTATGATGTAGAAAATACAAATTGCATTTGAGACAAAATATAGTTTTCCAAAATAAAATTAAATATATTTCATTATTTTTGAATAACATTAAAAGAATTGACAATAAATGTTGCGCTAATAATGATAAAAAAGTCAAATGATTTGGTGATATTCTTTTTCTAAATTATTTGTACCTAAATTATTTTTTGGATTATTACAGCCCTACTGTAATAATTCCAAAACTCCTTACTTATCCTCCTTACTTTAATCATTTTAAATAAAGTCACGCTGTTTGATTAAAACCAATCATTTTATATTTGCATATTTTCCTTTTTAAGCGTATTTTGGAGTACCTACGGTCGATCAGCTATTATTATATTTATTCGATCAGCTATTATTATTTGTTATTATATTTGCTTGACGGCTCCGTGGCGCAGTGGCTTAGCAATGAAATGTTGCGCGGGGGGCCGCGGGTTCGAATCCCGCACGGAACAAGTGTTTGTATAGCCAACAAATAATTATTCCGGGTCTGGATGTTTGTCCTCGTGCAATTTATGTTTGTAAACTGCCTCCACGACACAGGAGAAAATTCTAGTATGGGAGTAATATTTTTCAAACAAAAAAATTATATTATATTACTAGCTGTTCCCGCGACTTCGCTCGCGTGTTAGTTTAAATTTTTTTGCGCGGAACCCAAATTTTTTTTTCTAAAATATACTTAATGGCATGTGAATAACCTCCTCAGCTGTTTAGATATTACCGACGTACATTTTAATTTTATTCATATACTAGCTGTTCCCCGCGACTTCGCCCGCGTGTTAGGGTTTTTAAGTTTTTGCGCGGAACCCTAATTCTTTTTCTAAAATAAAAGTAGCCTAAGTTACTCCTTATGACATCAGCTATCTGCCAATGAAAATCCCGTTAAAATCGGTCCAGTCATTTCGGAGATTAGCCGGAACAAACAGACAGACAGAGAGACAAAAATTAAAAAAAAATATTTTAGTTATAAGTACCGTATTAACTTTCATATGCATTTAGTAAAAAGCTGTAATTTTGACATTACAAACAGATACTATTTATTTGTATAGATATAGATTATTTGTATAGATTATATTATAACCAGATTATAACAATTTACCGCGCTATAATTTTTCAAACCTAATAATATAGAAAATTTCGGCTCAGTTCTAAACCCCATTTTCAATATTCCAAAGTTCATGATTACATGTAGACTTTATTTCGAACGATTATTTTTAACCCCCGACGCAAAAAGATGGCTGTTATAAATTCGGCCGCTATGTGTGTGTGTTATAAGTTCGACCGCTATGTGTGCGTGTGTGTGTCTGTCTGTGGCACCGTAACTCTTAAACGGGTGAACCTATTTAGGTGCGATTTTTTTAAATTTAAAACCAGATTTTCCAGCCGAGGCTCTTAGACGTTTTATATCAAAATCGGTCCAGACGTTTCAAGGTCATCAGCTGTTTTGTTAGCTGTGGTAGGATTCTATTCAGGGGTTTTTAAAATTTTCAATATTATGTTATTTATGTAGTGAAATAAATTGAGAACAGTTATTTAAAGCCTTTTTCTCCAAGCCAACCCAAGTTATGCCTTAATAATACACAAATATTTTTTTAATCATTTACACGAACGTTTGGAAAAAATCATATATATTTAGAAAATTCGCCTATTTTAAGCAGATATATGGACATAAAGTGGTTCATAAATTTTTGTGTACTACAATTTCTGGATGAGTTTCGTAATTAATAGAATATTGAATGAAATATACATATATAATTCCCGTATTGATATATTTTTCATCTTAAATTTACTAATAGATACACAAAATAACACTACTAGTACAACATTTTATTATTATATTAGCGGTTAAGTTCTCACCTCACTATTCTATACAACTGTCGTCTACCTTACACTTAGTGATTGTACAAATATTTACATTTGGTATATAATAGCTACTTTGTACAAGGAGTGACTAGAATCATCGTAAAAACCGTAACTTTTCAATAAAATCCCTCTGTTGAGTTATGTTTACTTGGCACATTTAATACCTTTATCGCATTATTCAAAATTTAAATAACAAATTTAAAAAATATAAAATAGAAACAGTGACAGAGTTTATGAAAGTTAAAAAAAGAACTGCGCGGTCTGATGAAGAATGTTTAAAATGTATAGAATTTTATCAAAAAGTCACGAAGTAAATATTTAGTGGCTCGTATCATACTCTTATATCTATTTACGGACGAAATTCATATCGTTAAAATATTTTGCAAATCAATAAAAACAATATTGTACATGCATTATTATTTTAAATTATTTTTTTTTACTTACACGGATTAAAAAATTGTGACTTCGTTTACAAAAATACGTGGATACCGGTAACTTCAAGTTTGGCTTGGTCGTCAAGTTCGAAATTCTTACTTCAAGGGTTTTTACCCGCCAAAATTTGACTGTCATCTACATCGCCACAAGAGAAACGACCGTAATTTATATAGGAGTGTCCTCATCACTCAGTTCTAAGTCCATAGGGACGTTTCAAAACGAACTAGAACCTGAAACGCACCCATTAAGATACATTCACCTGGCCCAATCATCCGGCGGCGAGTGACCCTGATGCAAGGGCGAAAACGCACTCCGTCGTGGCTCTGACGTCACGGCTTCTTCTTGATTGCCAATGATAGATTCAATGGAGAAACCGTTTCGCGATCTCTTCCCTCTAGGTTCCGTCATTTCGGCAACTCTTGGTGGCAGGGGCACTGGACGTAGAGTCGCCGGCGGGGGACGAGGCAGTGTTAACAGCGGCGTAGGCGGCAAATAACAAGGTAAAGGCAAAAGAGGAGCATAAGCTTCTCTCGCGAGCATCGCGACGACGGCGTGAGCGTGTTGCAGCGACGGCGCCGGTCTCTTATACCGCTTCCGACGTCGTAAAAAACTACCATTGTCGAACATGTCTTCCGCGAGGGGATCCAATGTCCAATAGTTCCCTTTACCGGGATTCCCTGGCTCTCGAGGGATTTTAATGAAGCAATCGTTTAGACTTAAGTTATGCCTGATCGAGTTCTGCCAGGCTGGAAACTTTTCACGGTAGTAAGGAAAGCGTGTCATGATGAATTCACAGATACCGCTAAGAGTCAGCTTCTTGTGTGGAGACTGAAGTATTGCCATCGTAATTAAAGCTATATAGGAATAGGGTGGCTTGATGAGTTGTGACGATGACTTCTGCTTGGGTTTCTTTGGTGAACTCGGTTTTGTGTCTGTCGGGCTGGACGCGTCGTATCTATCAGAGTCGCTGGAAGGCGGCGGCAGTTCCGGAGTGTCCTCGTCTACGGACACGTAGGTGTCGTCCTGCGGGTACTCCTGGTCGCGGAGGTAGTGCTGGATGTAGAGGCGTGGCGGCGGGCGCAGGTCGAGCGGTAGATCGCCTTCGATTATCATATCGCGGTATTGGCCAAGATCACAATCTTCCATGCTGGACGTCACATGTCAATGCGTCGTGTATCGCGGCGCGGTGTGGACTGGCGCTGGGTCCCTCGCGGAGGCTCTGGCCCGGCCGGCTCCGCCCCCGGGCTCCCCCACCGCCCCGGGCCGCGTTTACGTGCCAGTAAACACAACAATTGTCGTTATTATTACTGCGGGTCGGAGCTTTGTGCATGAATTTCAGGCCGGCGAATAATAATTATTAGACCGCCCGTTGCTTATCGATTTAACTTTGCGTCGGTATTTATTTTAAGTTTGGTGGTGAAGTTTTGAACTATGGTTTGTCACAATCAATTTTTTTGTTCTGAACAAATTTACGACAATCGCAGAGAAGCTGTTGATATATAAGTAGTTACCTCTGTTTTATACTTATTAACTCTACATTTTATTTATCATCAACATTATATATTTATTTATGTTTTAGCAAATTAAGTTTTAAACAAAACAGAATAAAGAAATAGTTATAACAGTTTAAGTGATTTATAAAAATGTAAAGTCGTTTTCAATATAATCCTAAAAAGGCGACGCGATACGTTATGAAAATGTAGACTTATCCAACAAAACGGCAAAGGGAAACTGTTTACGGAGATACGCCGGTAACACGATTCTATAATCCTCGGCTAAAGGACTCGCTATTGAAAAAAAAATCTCATAAAGCGAATTCTAACACACCATCCAGGTATACGTCTTCAAATAAAACGCGCGTAAAAAATATCCGTGAACGAGACGCCCTGACAATACGAGTGAGGCTCTAGAAACCCTCGTGTGTGTTGCCTACCAAAATATTTACCCCTCGGGCGTCGAGGGAAAAGCTACACGTGCGAGCGTGACGGAGCACCCGTGTGAGGGAGCGAGAGCACCACCTGAACCAATCATCGAGTGGATATCACGGGGCGGAGCCACCCAAAGCTAACATGTCAGGGCGTGGCATTAGATCCTATTATTGTCTGGCAAGGCAAATAATATTTTGCACAATGTACACATTGGGGTAAAGGGGGCTAGAGGGAAGTGAGGGGAATGGGGTGCTGCTAATTTATTCCCAACTTCGGTTACGGGTTGTTTTTCAGCTTTGCGAGCCTGTTATTTAAATTGGACGCTCGGAGTTATTTGTATGTAGCCGTCCGTAGGCATTGTTGGCCGTAATGAAGGAATTTCTGTCGGTTTGTTTGTTGCTACGAAAATTTTACAGTCGATTGTTGGCGGTAAGCGGTAAGCGTTCGCGGCGCTATTTTATTCCTGTTTCGACTTTCTTACTCGGTTTTGTACTATTTTGAATTGCAACTTCGCTTCTAGTTCTATTTGAAGTTAAGCTTTTTTTCTATTTCTTGAATTTTTAACCGTGGTAAAAATTCAAATTTTCTTCATAAATACAATATTAATGCACTCGTATCTAACTTTGGGAAGATAATTCAGGTGATTTATTCTTTTAGTGTGTAATTTATGACATTCATGTGGACGTTTAATCCTAATGAAACAATCATTGTTTATAAAATAATACGTATAGACAGACAAAAATGGAAAAAAAAATATTTTTTTATAGGATAAGGGTGACAAACGAGCACACAGTCCACCTGATGGTAAGTGGTTGCTGCGGCCCATAAACATCTACATCTATCCTCTGTTACAAATCAAAATGTAGATGCGTTGTCACCCGTGAGGACTAAGATGGAATGCCACATTTCCAGTAAAAAGGGCCTCCGGCCACCTGCACTCACCAAGCGAAACGCAGAGGTAAACCTCTACTTCACGCTGGTTTTCTGTGAGGTCGTCGTACCACCCCGGTTCGAGCCGGCCCATCCGTGCGACAGCAAAAGCTGCCGCGTGGCTCTACCACTGATTAGATGCTAGAATTGCTACAATACATAATCATGGCAAGTATTTTTATTAATTACCTACTACATAATTTTCCCCATAATATCAACCCGCGGGTGTCGTAAGAGGTGACAGAGGGAAACAAATCACTACATGAGCAGCAGCGTCTATAAGGACTAAAAATAAAAAACCGCGGTTGCCACACGGCTTGCCAATCGTAGCAACTATAGCAAATATCCGCCCTATGAGGCAATCTATGGGGGAGGCCTACGTTCAGCAGTGGACTTTAATAGGCTGTAACGGTTCATAATTTTCAATTTAGACAATCCTAGATATATATATATATATATATATATATATATATATATATATATATATATAATACTTATTTATTTTGTAATGATTGGGATTATATTTTATTCCCATGTATACTTTAGATATATTTAGTTTGAATGATTACATGCGAACCCAAGTCCACCGCTGAACATTAGCGTCTCGCAATGGCTTCAACATAGCACAGTTCTGTGCCATCTCCATCCATCGATGTATCTGCATGACTTGCACGTAGTTCCATCGACCTATCGATCGCGGTTGGACTTACCTAATCTGATATTTTGTACAGGGTAAAGTTTGTTTAGTCTAAAATGCAATATTTGTTCGTCGATACAGTTTAAGGGTGTAACGTATATATACCTTTCCACGGTAAAAGTTTTAAAATAATTAAAGAAAAATCCCTACTCATCAACAACTTCAAGTATAGTGCGGATGATAATAACCCCTGGGGAATGAGGTAATCGCTATCAAGTTATTTCTAATTTGTTGTTGTGTAACATTTATTATGATTGAAAGCTGTTTTTTTTTTCAAGAAAAGTCCAGCTGGGTTTCTTGCTGGTTTTTCCCAGGACATAGGCTTTTTTGCGAACCAGTGGTAAATTATTTCTATATATATATATATAGAAATATATATCCCAGATATATAGATAGACTAAGAATATCCACTACCCATATAGTTATATTATATTAAAGATGCAGTGCGGGAGATGAATAAAGAGCTGAATAGACTATTTAACACTGACATACTTTTCACGAGCAGACCTAGATCAGACAAATAGTTTATTTTTTCGTAGATAAAAAAATATCTGTTCTTTATTTTCCTCCTATATATACTTACTGGAAAATGGATCCATAGTTAGTTTATTATTGTCATAGGAACGTTTTATTTTTATACTAAAACAAAAAACAAGTTTTAGGGCTAACAGAATTTATTAATAGCAGTTCATGTACCTACCTCTAGGTAGGTACATATCTATACAAATAAATAAAATTGAAGTGTATGTTTGTAATGTCAAACTTACAGTTTTTTACTAAATGCAAATGAAATTAAATTCGGTACTTACAACTAAAATACAATTTTTAAAATTTTTGTCTGTCTGTCTGTCTGTTTGTTCCGGCTAATCTCCGAAACGCCTGAACCGATTTTGACGGGACTTTCACTGGTAGAGAGCTGATTTTATAAGGAGTAACTTAGGCTACTTTTATTTTAGAAAAAGAATTAGGCTTCCGCGCAAAAACTTAGAAAACCCTAACACGCGGGCGAAGTCGCGGGGAACAGCTAGTATATGAATAAAATTAAAATGTACGTCTGTAATATCTAAACAGCTGCCTATATAGCTGAGGAGGTTACTCGCATGCCATTAAGTCCTGAATAATCATTTTTAAAATCTCGCCTGTCTGTCTGTCCGTCTCACACTGTATTGAAAATCGCGTTTCGAAGACCTAGAGCTTTTAGTTTTAAATGTCGCTTTTTTTTAGATTGAAATGGCTTCTGTTTAATATTACTACGATCAAAAACATCACACAAAGTAATTTGGCTTAAAAACTGAGGATTGTGATTTTCTTTACGGAAAAAATGAAATAAATGTATGGAGCAGATACTAAATATAACTCTGGAATCGCAAAATTATTTATGATTTTTGATATACTTCATGTTACGGGAAATACTGCACTTTTTTTTAATCGTCATTTTTTTTGCATACTTGTTTTAATGCAGAAAGATAACTGATACGGGTTTTTTGTTTACAATATGTCAGAAGAAAGGTTTATTTGCAACATCAAATTACCATCCGATGGTACTAAAAATATCTTTGACTCTAATGAGCTCTTGTAAGAACTAAAAAAAACAATAATAAAATCATTAATAGTTACATATCTACGAGTTAATATCAACAGGTACCTACGACGCGTCTATGGTGTATCTGCCTGTTCGTCTGTCAAATTTGTTGATTGACTGATTTCATCAAAGTAAAGTATTACTAAACACTTTACCTACAACTTTAGGTGCATAATATTATGATTCACTATTTAGTGACGACCGTGCAACGGGGCTCAACTTTGTGCATCTATACACTCAACGTGCACGATAACGCACGTTGAGCGTATAGATGCACAAAGTATCTATTTCAGTAGGTACTATAGTACCTACTATAATATTTATGTATTAATACGTAGGTACCTATACGTCTTCATCTACTTTCTATCAAGAATCAAAATACAAATTCGTTGTTAACCCTGATGTTTAAGATGGAATGCTTCGTTACCAATCAAAAGGATCTTGTTCTTGCCACTCGCCATACGAAACACGGCAGAATTATACTACGCCACTGCAGTTCGTCACGGATGCCAACAATAACGAAGGTTTTTCTCAGCTATCATCCGAATACATATCGCATCCCTGATATATAGAGTGCGAGCTAGCTCCAACAACTTCCTGACGACGTTCGCGGCAAGGCTGGACAGTTCTATGTAGAACTGGTACTTTTCTACGTGGTAGAGCCATGCTGCAGCTATATTATGGTTGTAGCACGAATGGGTCGGCTCGGCCGGGGAAGGACCACGCTCTCACAGAAAATCAGCGTAAAATAGCAGCGTAACGCTGCTGTGTTTCGTATGGTGAGTGTACAGAACCGGAGACCCTTTTTACTGGCAAAGAGGCATTCCATCTTAGTCCTCACGGGTGACAACGCATCTGCATCTTGAGTCTTTATTGAAGATAGATGTAGATGTCTATGGGTCACAGTAACCACTTACCATCACGTGGACTGTGTGCTCGTTTGTCACCCGATCCTATAAAAAAAACTGGAGTTGCTTATATATTACCTCAATATATTTTTATTATAATA